GAGTATTGTATGTGCGGAGGTGCAAATGGAAAGAGAGAGAGAAGATAAAAAAAAAAAAATATTGACAAAATTAAAATTCTGATATGGTAGTTAAATTGACGTGAAGCCAATGTAAGTATATAGGCATTGTATACCAAAGCCCTGGATGGCTTCTCATTTAAAGTTTAAAGTTTAAACATGTGAATAGGCCTCCTTACCAGAAGAAAACAAAGGGACGAAGTAATATAGGCCTAAGATATGGAGTAATGTGGGTCCCATATCGATCTAATAATATGTTTCCTTTTGTTCTTAGTTTAATTAGGAAATTAGCTCAGATCTTTTAATGGCAAGCCAAACGTAATTTAATTTTTCATGTCATGGTGAAAAGAAAAAAAAAAAAAAGAAGAAAATAAATAAATCAGCCCAAAGGCTTTCAAGACTTCAACAAGTAGATAGTAGGTCTAAATCACAAAAAACACTGGCAATAATGTGGGTCTTAGAGTTAAAGCATGTCATTTAATTATAAATATATATAGTGTAATACTAATAAAATACAAAATCAACTGAAATGCTTAACCTAATTTAATTTCCCAAATAAACTAAAAAAACCCAGCTCCTGAGAGCGGGTGTTTAGCTACTGATAATGTCAAGAGTCAAGAGAATGGTTCTTCTTCCTCCTCATCCATGCATGTGAAAGGCATCTTGTCAAATGATGAATTGAGAGCCTGTTTTGTTTTAACACCCATGAATTTTCTAATAAAACAAACGAAACCTAACCACATAGATAGATCCTGCGTGCCGTAACAGCAGAAGTATTCAGTTCAGCCACTAAAAGATAAAGCAATAAGTGATTAAATTAAGTTACATCTCTAGCTTCCAAAACCTCCAGAGTGAGAACTCATTGACACACAACACAAGAGAAGACAAAACATCAGGCATCAGCTACAAAAAAATAAATAAATAAATAAAAGAAAAGAAAATTGGACAGGGTTGCATTGCATTTGCATACATAGATTGAAAACACACGTCAGATAAAAAATGACCAACAACTCATCTGTCTCTGCCTCACTCTCTCTACAGGGAGAGGGAGTCCTGTCTTGCGTTGTAAGAAAGAAAGAAAAGGGGACCACAACTACTCACCACACAATACATAAATGAGGAAATACTGAAGTCTCCTTCTCATTATCTGACGGTCAGTCTTTATCCAGAACCGATGCTGCGTTTTCCATCAAAATTAAAAATTTACCAAACCGCGTAATCACACCGACCGCTGATTCCGCTACATATACAAATATTTATTTATTAGTACTAGTGGAATTGACAATTATATCTCGGGACATAGATAAAAAGTTCACATCCTGTTCAATTCTTGAGACAATTATATAATATATAAAAAAGACTTTTCACCAAATATTGTTAGATTGAAACATTAATGTATCAAATCAATGATAAAATTATATTCAATAACATTGTATAAGATACGGTCCATTCTAACAAAATTTATGGAGAATAGGAGATGCCACTCTTATCTGATTTTCTTAAAAACTATGAAAATAATTACTATTAATGGTTAGAAGTAAACAAAACTATTATGTTAATTTACACAAATAACCATTGAATAGCAGAAGTCATTATCTAAGATAACTATTAAATCACTTACATTTAAGCCTAAAAACATTTTCTTCTTACTTTTAAACTAAGAGGAGATAAAGAAATTAGTTGGAAGCAAAATTTATCAACCAACTACTAAAGTAACATGTATGCAAACACCTTTTAGGCATGTTGAGCACCTCTGCACATTTATCCAAGAATAAAACAATTGAGCAATTCATAATGTGTCACAGTGTTGCATACCACTAAGGACATGGGTTTTATGCCCTACTTAACAACCACACACATGATAACATATAGTCCTAGTAGCAAATATCCTTATAAGACCTAGGCCTAATTGACAAACATGTACAGGGCCCATGGAATGAAATTTCTATATTTTCATTTTTCAATAATTTATAGTTTGCTTTGTTTTTTGTTATTTTTCAACAATTTTTATGATTTTTTACATTTTTTTGTAAATTTTTCATGTATTTCTATGTTTTTTGTAATTTATATTATTTTCTTCATTTTTTGTGTTTTTTATAATTATTTTGTAATTTTTATTTTTTTCTTTAATTTTATTTTCTACATTTTATATCTTTATTTATATATCATGTATTTTTTATAGTTATATTTTTCTAGAATTTATGTATTATGTGAGAAATTAATGGGTTGGGCTGAACCCAAAATGGGTCACTAACGGGTTGATGGGTTAGGTGGGTTGGGTTAAAGCTCAAACCAAACCAAAGTAACTCACCTACCCAATTTCTTTTTAGAAAAGGCAATGGTTTTTTTTTTTTTGTCAACAACTATAATGCACCCTCATATAGACTTGTGTCAGAATAACCAAAAAACTAAGGGGTAAAATTAGTATGAAAAATCAGGGTCTTTTGACCACACTAACTGAATCATTTTGTAATTTATGTTTTTTCTTCAATTTTTATGATTTTCTATATTTTTGTAAATTTTCTATCTATTTCTTTGTTTTTTGTAATTTATATTATTTTCTTCATTTTATGTGTTTTTTCATAATGATTTTGCAATGACATATATACAATGGGAAAAAATAGAAAGTTAAGGGTAAAGTTGGAAGGTAAAATCAGGGTGTTTTGACCAAACCAATTGCAACATTCTCATTTTTTAGTATGATATATAGAAATTTTTATGATTATCTATATTTTTGTATATTTCTTTGTTTTTTTTAATTTATATTGTTTTCTCTATTTTGAGGAAAAAAGGTGCATAGGATGAGAGAGATGCCATTTTTGCTTCCTCCTTCCTATTATAAAGTAGGGGTTTTAGAATTTATGTCTTCCTTCATGTGTGAATGATGACATTTGGCCTTTTGCCTCCTGTAGTTCTACTTATCAATGGTGGGGCCGTTATTTTCATATCTAATGGCTAGCATCAGGATATAGGTTGATCCTGATTCGTTTATATTCAAATTTGAATCAAACATTCATCTGATTTAGATAGAAGAGTCTGGACTTTCCTGCCAATAAAAATGCATTCCAAACCCCTACGGCCCTGCCAAGTACAACCCCTACGATGTTACGTTGGTAGGGTGTTAGATTATTGGATCGGCCCAATGATTGTCAAGAAAAAACACTCTAAAATGAATCAATATAATGAACCTAAGAGCATTTCCTGATCCAATACAACTTATTATGTTAACGGAGATAATTGAAAAAAAAAACAAGGAGAAAAAAAAAGCTTCATTTAATCATCTAATTGATTGTTCAATAATGAAAAGAAAGAGGTTGAAAAAATCCATTCCTCCCTTCAATTCAAATTCGTGGTTTGGGTAAACCATCCGATACTTGACACATGTTGTCCCTAATCAATGAAGAGGTTCGTCAAATAGGTGCTTTGGGAGAAGATCGGATAAGGTGGGGAGTAGGTTCCACAGTAGTATTATTTTATTTGTTTTATCCAATTACAAGTGTTAACTGTTAATTAAATAAAATTGAAAAAATAAAAAAAATAATAAAGGGTAAAAATGAAAAGTGAAAATCAAGTTTCAAAATAAAAAATATGATAAAGGGCAAAAATGAAAAATAAAAATTATATTTTTTGACAAAATATTGCCACCATCCTTGTTTATAAATGAGATACAAAGATTATCCAATTACAATTACAAGTGTTAACCGTTAATTAAATAAAATTAGAAAAATAAAATAGATAATAAAAAGTAAAAATGAAAAATAAAAATCAAGCTTTAAAATAAAAAACATGATAAAGGATAAAAATGAAAAGTGAATGACGAAACACTATCACTATGATATAGTATAGATAATAAAAATATAAAATCACCTACTCCTACTCCTAAGTCTTCTCTTCAGAGTCCAGACTCCAGTTACAGCTTAGCTTGCAGCTTGGTTTTGTGTTTAGACTGCTATATATATAGTACAGATAATAAAAATATAAAATCAAATAAAACTGACGAAGACCAAACCCTTTCCTACTCCTGCTCCTACTCCTAAGTCTTCTCTTCAGAGTCCCGACTCCAGTTACAGCTTACCTTGCAGCTTGGTTTTGTGTTTGCTATGTTTGGTTTAAAGGAAAAAGTAGAAAAAGGAAGGGAAATGTAAGAAAATCATTACAAATTTTGTATAAATTTTTCTATATTTTTTTTTCTTTTCCTACCTTTTCCTTTGTGTCCGGTTTGTAGTTGTTCAAACTTCAAACTTCAAAGGCTTCAACGCCCGGTTACCAAAACCGTCATCCGGTCCCACACCTACTAATATGCATCCTAATCAATTGCCCCACCTAGACTGGACCCACCTCAATTATCCTCAACTCAATCATCCACTACACAATTACCGGGTTCTACTATTTCAATTATTGTCCCACTAATTGACGGTCCAGATTTGTGCGAAACCCTAATAGCATACAACAGGTCGGGTTAGGTATGCGTTCGCTTAACTCCAAGTTACTGACCCGACTAAACGGAGAGAAATTATTGAACCTGACAGTCCTGACCTGACCTGGCCCGGCCCGTCCCATTCCATTACACACGGCGCAGAAGCGAGCAGCAGATCCAGGCTCAATGCCATCAGGGTTGTGGGGTTATGGGAATGGGATGGGCGTTTATCATGGTTTCCCTCAACACGAACCCTACTCAAATATTGATTAAGGGCCTAAGGCAGTCGGGTAAGTGCGGGTTGTCACTTAACCCGACCCACTGACATCCCTGTACAATTAAAAGAGTGGATTTTTATTTAACTGTAAAAACTAAAAACGACCATCTCTCTCTCTCTGATGAACTAGTCTCTACTACCCTTTAGAAGAAAAAAAAAACTCTTCTTTTCTTTACAGCCTTGAGCGCTTTTAGCGCTGTCCTCCAATTCAGAATATTCTGAAGCCAACTGTATTCTCTTGTTTTTACATAATTTTTCGTCGTTCCGAGAATCTCGGTTTCCTCTCTCTCTCTCTCTCTCTCTCTCTCTCCTGTAATCTTATATCTTAATACACTGATGAATCCTTGCCCATTATGACAATCGACATTCTCCATATTCTTATGGTTGCTGTTATTTATAATTTCACGGGCTTATCACCATTACTTTCTCTGCCTGTATATACAAGCAACACACAGGGAAAGAGACAGAGGCACAAGTAGGAAGATTGTCGTCGATCTGGCCATGGCCGGGGTAGACGTCCCTCGCTTCGGTCAGGCTCTACTCGACCTCGTTCAGGACATTGGAAGGATCGGTGCCTTTGGAGATGTTTACAAGAAAGAATGCTCGGATCTTTGCCGGAGAATTGCACTCCTCTCCTACTTGTTTGAGGAGATCAGGGACTTCAAGGGAATTCATGGCCATTTCTCGGCTTCCACATCCACCTCATCCTCCTCTTGCTTCAACGATCTGCTCGTGGCCCTCAAGGCGGCTAAACTGCTGCTTTCGATTGCTGCTAATTATGATTCCGGGACCTCTCATGTAAGTCTGTTTTACCGGTTGTTTCATCGGTTGAATTTCAGTAAATTTGTTCGGAACCGTTGTGTACTCTTATCCAATTTTAGATTGTCTGCCGTATTAGTCCATATTTGGTTGATATTAAAGCGATACCTCTTTATATCCCTCTTGTTGTGCATTGGTTTCGTGAAGTAACTTGAATAAGTATCTGCAGAACGTAAGCTTCCTGATTTTCCTGAAATATCTAATTTCATCGGTGAATTTGCAAACCTAACTTGTGTTACTTAGTGAAATTTTCAGATGTGCTGCCCTCTCCTTTCCAATTTCCTTTCAAAAGATGTCCTATCTCCTTGTGCAGGAGACCTGTTAGACATATTGTTGTGCAGAACTCATTGTGAAGGCGGGATCAATCCCAAGTCTCCATTACAACCAGCTAGAGACCTCCCCAACTGAGCCAGTTGGTACCTTCACAATGGTTCAACTAATTTGAATTTCTTAATTATATTCTTATCTTTGAATATGCTCTTGTTTGCGCTATTCTCATTGTCAGGATTGAATTGTGAGGTAATGGATAATAGAACTTTTGGATGAGAAAGAACTCATGGTTTTCTCCTTTAGGGTTGTTCTGATGAAAAATTATAAATTGCCTGAAGTTTTCTTTGTAATTGCTGTTATTAGCAATGACACATGTAAATTTGAGGTCAATCCTCCATAATCATCTGGCCCTGGTTCTGTTGCCAATGAATAGTTCATTTTTGACTGGTGGTTACATCTCAGCAACTGTCTTTGCTATCAATTATGAAACTTGGAAAGATAGTCATTATGATCTTACTGATTTTGTGCTTATAACCTCAAAATCTTTTTGGTTGTCGTCTAAACCTTGTTATTGCTTTATTTAGGACTTATGTGCCAAGGAAATCTCCCTTAGATTCCAATGTATAACGTGGCAGTTGGACAAAGCATTAGGGAACATACCATATGATCATTTCAACGTATCAGAGGAGGTTTGGGAACAGGTAGAAGTTGAGAAATATATGGTTTTCTTGAAGCTTGACTTCTCTTATCTCTCCCCTAACTTATTTTTTTCTTGTTAGGTTGAATTGGTAAGATCACAATTGAGAAGAGCAACAGAAAGAAATGGGTCTCCAGATTCAAGAACATTGTGCTCTGTCTTATCTGAGCCAGTTGATCAAGAACCTGATATACTAGAAACAGGTGAAGGGGCATTTGAAAACATAGCTAATGTTGATCATGAATGTCAAGAAATGGGGGATATTGTTACAAAAGGTAATGGTAAGATTGGGCATAACATTGAACAGATGATACATGAATGTGAAAGACCCAAGAGGTTCTTGACATCATCACAGGTGTGCAAATTAAACGAAGATGACAATAAAAAGCCAGACAACTTAGACAGCAGTAATTCAATGGAAACTAAGAAGACAGAACCTGTCACAATTCCTGATGATTTCCGTTGCCCTATATCACTTGAGCTGATGAGAGATCCTGTCATTGTGGCCACGGGACAGGTATCTTTTAGTGTTTCAGATGTTATTAGTGTTTGTCTTTGACTTTATTTCTCAGTAACCTTAGAAACTCGGTTGAATTTATCCTGCATTCTTTCTAATTTCAAACCCCTCTTGATGCTGCAGACTTATGAAAGGTCTTATATACAAAGATGGATAGACAGCGGCCATAAAACATGTCCTAAAACTCAGCAGAACCTCCAAAATTTGACATTGACTCCAAATTATGTTTTGAGAAGTCTAATTGCACAATGGTGTAAAAAGAACAATATTGAGCATCCAATGGGATCCAGAAGTGGGAGAATTAGAAAAAGTGATGGATCATTTCAAGATGTTAATGAGGAAAAAGAAGTCATTGACACTCTGGTCCATAAGCTCTCAAGCCGGTCTGTTGAGGATCAGAGAAGTGCTGCCACTGAAATCCGTTCCCTTTCAAAGAGAAGCACTAACAATAGGATACTGATAGCAGAAGCTGGTGCTATTCCTCTTCTGGTTAACCTGTTAACCACGGAAGATGTGAGGACACAAGAGAATGTTGTCACTTGCATTCTCAACCTTTCTATATATGAAAACAACAAGGAACTCATAATGCTTGCTGGGGCTGTTCCTTCAATTGTCCAAGTCCTCAGGATGGGAAGCATGGAAGCTAGGGAGAATGCAGCAGCAACACTTTTTAGCTTATCACTTGCAGATGAGAACAAGATAATTATTGGGGCATCTGGGGCAATACCAGCCTTGATAGAGTTGCTTTCAAATGGAAGCTTGAGAGGGAAGAAAGACGCTGCAACAGCATTATTCAACTTGTGCATTTATCAAGGGAACAGAGGTCGTGCAGTGAGGGCAGGGATTCTCATACCACTGATGAAGATGCTCACAAATTCTAGCAGTTGCGTGGTTGATGAAGTTCTGGCTATCCTATCAGTTCTTGCTAGTCATCAAGAAGGTAAGATTGCCATAGCAAAGGCCAGCACCATTCCTGTTTTGATAGACTTGATAAGAACAGGTATGCCACGCAACAAGGAGAATGCAGCAGCCATTTTGCTTTCCTTGTGCAAGAAAAATGATGAGAATCTTGCCTGTATAGGAAGGCTTGGTGCTGTCATACCACTTACTGAGCTAGCTAAGAGTGGCACAGAGAGGGCTAAGCGCAAGGCTGGTTCATTATTGGAGCTTCTTTGTAAGTTGAAGCGGCTTTGAGAGTGTAGTATTGCCTTAAAGGATTTCATTCTTTTCCTTTCTTCCCATCCTGACAATGAATAATAACATTCTATTCTTTTTCAAGTGTGAAAAATGAAGATAAAAACATGAGAGGTGAAACCTTTCTCATGGTTTTCTGTGTAATTTTTTTTTTTTTTGCTGTGCAAGCATAAAAGAAATTCATTTATGTTTGTAGTTGTCCATTCCAATATATAGGCACCCTTTCTTTTTTTTTCCCAATCAGATCCATTGTGGAAGAAATTTTGGTACATATTGATATTGTTGAATATTAAATTCTGACACAGAAAGAAAGCTTCCTTGTTGTTAATTATTAACCCATTTTTGTATCAAGTATTTCTATTTGTTTTGGATACAGTCCAACTCTCCATGTTAATTGACTTGCCTTGAATCATGTTGCCACTGTCTTCTGCCAGTAGTCAAGTCAAACATAGTAAGTTGTAGCTCATAAACCACACCTTGGACATACTAATTAAAATTATTGTCTAAAATTCATAACCTACATGTTGAATTTGAATGCAGTGGAAGTATGTTATTTTCCAAAGCAATGACAAATTTTACGCTTAGGTCCAGAAAATCTACTCCACCACAAAAGTGAAGGACATTTTTGACAACCTGTCCATGCAATAAAAAACATGTAACCCTAGTTCTGGAAATGTGTCAGAGTTCATAAGGGGACCTTCTGTAAAAAGAAGTCTGCCTGCAAAGTTTGTTCCCAAATTATTAATTTCATTGCCGGCATTGACCCTAAGAATGATGTGTTTCTAACCCCTCGCATCCTCAAATGACTGCTATAGTATATAAAGCTCTGAGCATATCCAAATCTAAAACAAGAGTCCTGAGTCTGTAGTCATGGGTATGAGTCCCATCATAGGTGATTAATTTTTTTATTCTGATATACTCGACGTTATTTAACAAAAATAGAAAATCTGTGATCAGATTATTGACACACTACTTCAATATTAGTTTATGTTTCCTAGGTAGAAATGTTTTTTTTTCATTCAACAGGTATTTTTGACATTCACGAGTTAGTATATATTTTATGCGAATTCTGTTGCCACCAAGGGAATTTTAGTAGCTTATTTATTTATTTTTATCTTGCTTTAAGTTTGTCAGTTTGAATCAATTGATAATGAGAACAATAAGTTTAAAAGAATGTTCTCAGCTTAAATCAATTGCATTGGCATTTGTAATATGCTATTTAAATAGAAAATTAATGGGAGAAGAAGTAGGTTCAATAGTCACGATGTAAAATAGACAACCTTATATAGATGTGAGAAAAGAGATAGCCAACCTTATATGGTATCTCAATGCTTCAAAAACTCAAAAACATAGAAAGTCAACCTTGGTATATGGAAGTCCACTACTTGATGTAGGACTGGAGAGGGTGTCCTATAAAATTAGCAATGGTGAAATGAGAGAGGACTAATTTCGGATCTATACGATTCAATAAGAGGAGAAATAATGGAAAAAAAATCTTATATCCTTGAGTAAAACTAGAAAGAAAGAGATAGAGCAGAAGAGCTGATACATTTAGAAGAAGGGAAAAAGAGAAGAGAAAAGATATGGCTCCCAGTAGGACAAATTAAAATTTATATTCCATATCCAAATTAACTTAAAACAAACTTACAAAATCATGTACTTGTGGACTCTGGGAAGAAAGATTTGCCAACCCATTTTCCTACTTCAAATAACTTTATCAATTCAAATCAAATTCAAAACATCTTGGTCTCATTAGTACACTTAAATCAAGAAAAAACAGACAAATTTTGACCTATGACAAGTAAGTTTGAAGATAAATGATTTGGTTTTAATTTTACGTCTAAGAAAAACCTTTTAAATCCTAAAAGGCAGCCACTAGACAGTTCCTCAATTTTCTAGGCACCATAAATATCAGCACCTAATAAAAATTGAAATTCAAAATCTTTTCAAATCTGAAAATTATGAAAATACTCTTCTAGAAGCAAGGGGGGGTTAGAAGCAATGGCTGGGATGCAGAAACCTCCATTCTGCTGCTGGTGAGGTTTGAAGGGGAATCTAAAAAATTTCACTCGTTTTTGTAAAGGTTTGGGTTACAAGTTGGGAGATGGAAGGAGGCTGCGTTTCTGGCTTGATCCTTGGTGTGGTGACAGAAGTCTAAAAGACCTGTTTCCAGCCCTTTTTAGTTTGGCAGAAAAATAAAGAGGCCACAGTAGCCGAGTCTTTTGTGGTATGGCAATAGATATTTCTGGTATCCTTCTTTTAGAAGGAATTTTAATGACTGGGAGCTAGGAATGATTTCAGATCTGTTGGCCTTGCTCCAGAATCATCATCAAAATCTGGAGTCCCAGGATTCAAGAGTTTGAAGCTGGAACCTTTCAGGTGTTTTCACTGTTAAATCCTTCTATCTGGGCCTAGTGGGTGAACCCGGGGAGTCTTTTCCTAGCCAAGCAATCTGGAGGTCTGCAGCTCCATCAAAAGTAAAGTTTTTTGCTTGGGTTACTTCTTTATAGAAGTCTCACTAAAGATATGCTGTGGAAGAATAGTTTCAACATTACAGACCTGCTGTGGTCCCTTTGCAACCAAGAGGTCGAGTCCTGAAATCATCTTTTCTTGCACCGTAAATTCAGTGGAATCATGTGGAACCATTTTCTCAAGGCAGTAGATCTGAAGTGGTGTTTCCTGAATTCAGTGAAGGCATTGTTAAATGGCAGGTTGTCGGTATGACTAAAGAAGGGAAAGTTTGTTGGTTAGCCATTTCCTTGGCAATTTTATAGGCAATCTGGTTTGAGAGAAACTGCAAAATTTTGAGCAAAAAATCTCTTCATAAGCAGAAGTGGTCAACAGGGCTGTTGGACACTTTGGATGTTTCTTTTTTGAGGGTGAATTTCTTTTGAGGTCCTTTTTTTAACTTATATTTGCACTTTGTACAGTGGACCTTAAAAAAAATTCTTCTAGATCCCAAAACTCTGTAACTAAATAACTTTATACTACATATGATATTTTCCCAAAAACATTTGTATTCTTCAGAGTCTGCTTTTTCTTTAACTAAATAACTTTGCCTATGTTGGTGAGGCACTTAGAAACCTCATATACCAACATGTGAAAAACCAATTTTTTCCCAAGAAAGATCTAAACTCTGTGTCAGTCTTTTTTCTTCTCTTCCTTTTCTTGGTCTGCATCTTTCTCCCCTAGTTGTGAAAAATTGAATGTTGAGTCTTATAGTGTCAGAGAAGAAGTTGATGCCTCTTCAAGACATAATCAGGAAATCATCAAAAGGAAAGAATTCTAGCTAATGATATTTTTATTTTTCATTGCCAAAATAAATAGGAACTGTCAATTGACCATAATAAAATATTGTCATTTTTGGCAACTTGCATGTCCATCTTGATGTAAGAAATTTTCTCTAATTATGCAACAAATTACTGACTGGGCCATGAGATTGGCTTTGGCTTTTCATTACATTCCATACCTACTTTTATTATTGGCTCATACCCTAAAGCTTTCCTGGCTTACTCATGCATGCCATGTTCAGGAATAGGAGGATTTTATGCTTGATGGTGAGCAACTGCTTCTTGGCACACTGCTGTTATTTTTAAAAGCATAGCTTAGATATCAAAATTTGTACCTTGAATCTTGTCTATGTAATGTATTGAAAAGGAATAGATCATTGCCCATGACAATTGGATACCTCCAGACTTTAATCCAAGATGGATTTTAGATCTAGAAAAATGGGAGAAAATGGACTAATTGCATATCTAAATTTTACTTTAAACCCCCAATAAAAGGTGTAAGACAGAGTGAAGGAAATAAGTTTTACAATAAACCAAATGTAAGATTTTATTCTGTATTCTGGTTTGCTCACTATCCAATTTAAAAAATTGCACATCTATAGGCTTCAGGTAAAAGGATTGGATAGTTCACTTCCCTACTTCAAATAAGACTCAAAAAGAAAGTGTGTACTCTAAACTCAATCTTGTCAGCCACTGATACCTTGTCAATAAAATAAGTGCAACTTTTCTGAGTCACTTCTGATTCAAAAGATCTCAATCTCGATTGAACATAAAGTAAAATAGACAAGTTTTGATGAATTAAAATATCCCTAAATAAAAGTAACATGATTCCAATCTGTGCTCCAAGGAGATTCCACAAGACAACCAATGTATACTTCCTAAAACTTTAGACACCCAAAAAGACATCTTTCAACTGATTGACAGACACTAAAAGTAATAAAATAAAAGATATCTCCGAGTTTGAACTTTTTTTTGAAAAAAAAATAAAAAATTATAGAAATGCTTTCCAGATCTGATAACTATTTAATGAAATAACTTTAAACTGCTGACCTTATTTTCACCCAAAGACCACTAATTTTCTTCTTTAAGATCCCTCTAGAGATGTCCTGGGTTGGTGGAGCTTGTTGGAGCCTTGCCAACCCGATGTGAAAAGGTCTAATTTGCCCCCAAAAGCTCTAAGGTTGTGTTTTGTACCGTTGCTGTTTCTACCTGAAATGTTTTGAGTCAATCAAAACAAATTGGCATAGAACTGTCATTTGAGGCTATTTATAATTGAAACAGCATACCTTAAAAGTGCATTGAAGGAGCACCAAGATGTTGGGTTTGATACTAGAGTAACTGAAAGTGAAGGGAAGTCTGCTATGGTGGCAAGTAGGGATGGAGTGATACAAGGGGATAAAACCAAAGGCAAAATTCCATTGAATCCAAAAAGTTTAAAGGGACCGAGTCAATTGGTTCATGTAATGGAGGTTTTCTCTCGGTTGAAAGAAGGTCTCTTTGGAGCAGATCCTTGCAACAAGAGTATGTATAAAAGGAAGAGGATGAAAGTCAAAACTAGAAATAATGAAGGGGAGGATGAAGGTTTAACATCTAAGCAGGATCAATCATCAAACACTTTTGGAGATGGGGGCTTCTCCTAATGAAATACTACCTAAGGAAACGGAGCTAGATCATAATAAGACTGGTTCAGATCAGGGGGAGGAATGTTTGGAGTTGCAAGAGAGTGATGGCGAACAGATTGTGGATCAAGTAAGAGCAGTCAAGAAGAAGATTAGGATGGAAGAAGTGGTTGATGCATAAGTTCGAGCAAGTAATTATTGGTCTTTTCTTCTTTGGTGGGGAAGAGTTTGCAAGGAAAATATTCATGGAATTGAAGAAGTGATGATAAGGCCAGTGAACATAGAGGTTGAAGAGAAGGGGAGGGGAAATAGGGCTGTTTTTTTGTTAAATGAGATGGGGATTGATGTTTGGATAAGGTTTCAAGGAATTGGCAGATTGGGTTGATATGGTATTTAAATTTATTCTGGGGTTCAATTAGTGGGCAA